GCTGATTTTTTTATTCATGGTGAGGTACCCACACACGCGTCTTTTCTTACTTATTAAAAGCCAGTGCTTTACTGCAATTCCACCAAGTGGTAAGCGGTGATGAAGCCCTAGAGATGGCAAATGGCACATTCACTTTTGTTTTGTTCGGAATGACAGACGCCGGTAGATTATTATATTACCTTGTTGTATGCACTAAGAAAAACAAAAACATTTTGGTTCGAATCATTGGAAGCTCAGGTGGTTAGCTCTCGCTGTAAATTTCGCAGTACACGAGCAACCCGGGTTCGATCCTCGCCGGCACCAATGAAAATGTTATTTGCAACTGTAAGTGCTAATTTACCACGTGCTCGGCGGTAAAGGAAAACATCGTAAAGAAACCTGCATATCAGAAAAATAATAAAAAACATATTTCGAAGACATGTGAAATTCGCCAATATGTATTGAGGCAGCGCAGCAGACACTTCCTTGCCATTAAAGCCTCACAGAAATGCGAGGAGGCCTGTGCCCAGCAGTGGGACGAATATAGGCTGTAACTTTTTTTTAACTTTAATTGGTAAATTAACAACAAAGCGATGAAGACACGCCAACCACCTGGTTGCCGTATGGTGGAAATTGGACGAAGTAATAAAGGCATGTAATGTTCGTGTGTACACTCTCCGAATTGAATCGTATAGAAGTATAGACCATCGATGGGCTGACTGTGCTCGAGGTTGCAAAGATTGGTTCCAACAAGTCGAGGTTACAAGGTTCTAAGAAGGGTCTTATTAAAAAACCTTTTAGCATGTCTCTCCACTGAGTCTAACGCTGCTATGTTTCATTGGCTTGGCTTATTCATGACTCACCGGAAAATGTCATATTAAATGAAGCATAATAAGCTCGTACAAACAATATGCAAACCTCTTTATATCATAATATTTACTAAATTCGATATGGGGTTTGTAGCAACAAAACATCATGTTATTCGATAGATAAGATTATTTTAATCAAACATGACCCATATAAGGGATTACACGCCTAATAAATACCTCTGTAATGGTATTACTTTGCTTACTTATTTTATAGGATTTATAGCGTTGTTCTAATTATACATTTTAGAATTACGTTGCAGCTATATCATGGTTGTAGTACGAATGGGTCGAACCGATCTGATGGCACAACAATATCGTGCACCATACAAAGTCAAAAATATATAGTACATCAGTGTGAACGCGTCCATAACAATGTATGGTGCGCGATATTGTTGTGCTATGAGCTATATACTATATGCTTTTATATTATAGCGAAGTCTGAAATCTATTTCACGCTCTTGCAGAATACGTAAACTAAAGAAACCGAAGTCGCAACTTTCAAGTTTCGTAGCATTAACTCAAAGCGTTGAAAATATTGTTTAAGTAATGTACATTTTTTTTAAATCGTAATAATAAAATAAAACTTAAAACCATAATTATCAAACACTCCTCGCGGTATATTGCCAAGGACGCTGGCTGCGTTCTTCGCTGATTGGCTATACTTAGCCTTTGAGTAAGAAAATATTATAAGCTTATTAAAATTATATAGAACGACGACACGGCTTTGCTATCGCTCTCATAAAGGCAACGATAAGTTGCGAATACAGTTTCTTTAGGAACTTAGGACTCCACAAACCGCTAGCTGCAACTCGATGCTTTAATATCGATACACTTAGACTGCCTCATTGGTCTAGTGGTTAGAGTAGTGCGACTGCTGATCATGAGGTCCTGGGTTTGATTCCCGGTTCGGGCCAAAAAATCAATTATTGAGTTTTTCCGTGAAGAAATTCTCGGTAGCTGCCTGTAGTCAGGAAATTGGCGGTGTCTCACGCCCGTGCCTCGGAAAGCACGTAAAGCCGTTGGTCCTGCGCCTGATCTCTCTCCGGTCGTGTCAGTTGACCGTCCCATCAGATAATGAGAGTGACGGAATAGAGAGTTCATTTGTGCTTGCGGCATATATTTGGGAACTATAATCCTGTCATGCGCTGATGGCTAGTCTCCGTTGAGGCTGGCTGCCGTGACCTAAATTTGGTCTGTAGGACATTAATTAATTAATTTATACACTTAGACTGAGCTGCTCACAAGTAAGTGACACTTTCGAGTACACTTTGTTCAAAAATTTCTTTCCAGTTAAAATTATTCGCAAAACAAATTAATCTATCTAATAATCCACTAAGTCGCTGTAACCACCGCATTTCGCAGGCAGATTAACAATTATAACGCCACGCATTTTAAACGTTGCTCTCATTTTAGATATTCCACGGGTTTGGTTTTATAGGCAAATTTGAGAAAATTAATAATTTAAAATTATATACTGAGAGTTTAATAAACAAATTAAAAATTAATCTTTTCTTACATTAAAAACAAAACGTTACGCTCACACTAGAATTTTCTACTATATCGTATCGTATAGAGAGTTTTCAACATAAACTGCACAAGGAAAAACATCAAATATTTATTTACTTACGATTAAATAAATTTTTATATACAGAATTTAGTTTGTCAAAAAATTACAAGATAATTAGGAGATTTAATGAAAGTGATTTTTAAAATAATTTAAATTTATCATACAATTGAGAAATTTACAATATTAAAAAACTATAATATTAAAAACTGAAACTAATAACTTAAATTATCATACAGTCCTACTCCCCGTGGTATTGTGCCAAGAACGCTGGCTGCATTTCCTCGCTGAATGGCTATACTTAGCCTTTGAGCGAGAAAAGAACCAGCCCTCTTATCACTAGCAACAACGAACAGTCGCGGATAAAGTTCCTTTAGGAACTTCACCGTACGTGGACCCCCGGATTAATAGTCTCTTTAGCAAATGGCACAAATATGTATTCATCTCTCAGTCAGTCTTCTTTTTTAACGTAAATTTTACCTATTTCAGCCCAGACAAAATGGTCCTAAATATTTTTTTCATCTCCTTGTCATGGGTAAAGTTTCAGAAATACGAAAAGTTATACATTTATATTTTTTTTCTCAGTAGGATAAATAAAAAAACATTTTTAAAGGCACTCAGTAGAATTCGAGACTTCTCTAAAAACTGTTACATTTTTTATATAAAAACGTTACTAAGCACTACGATTTTCAGGATATTATTCGACAACATTCAGACCCAGAAAAATTATTTGTAGATCATACAAATACTAGTTCCGTGCGGGATTTGAACCCGCGGCCCTAAGCACTGCAATTCATTGATAAGCTACTGCGTCACGGAGCCGACGCTGAAAGAGAAAAATCGAGAAAGATTTTTAGAATTCTACATGTGTAATATAAGTAAGGTGATAACCTGGTATAAGTACGTAAGATGTATTATATTAAATTATTGTTTATTAAAATAACAACCGATAGTAATTAATTACTATTGCGTTGTTTTATTCGTTTATTGTATGTCATTTTACATAACGTATAATGGTTACATGACCTTATACCACCTCAAAAGGTTGAATATCATTATTTCCCTTCCGTCGTACAAGGTTGTAATTTTTTTTGCTTTTATATGCCCAGGTGATTAATTTATTTATTCACTCACAAAATAGGTTTAATTTTAAATAAATAACAACAGTTATTAGAATCTTAGGTTTTAATTACTTGATATATTTACCTTCGTGGTAGAGCCACGCTGCAACTTTACTATAGTTGTAGCACGAATATATCGGCCTCGGCCGGCGCTCTCACAGAATACCAGCGTAAAATAGCAGCAGAATGCTGCTTGTTTCATATAGTGAGTGTAGAAAAGCGAAGGCCCTTTTTATTGAAAACGAGGCATTCCATCTTTACTCCTCAGGGTTGGCAACGCATCTGCATTTGGATTCTTAATTGAGGACAAATGTAGACGTCTATGGATCACAGTATCCACTTACCATCAGGAGGACTGTGTGCTCATTTATCACCCATATACTATAAAATTAACTAATATAAGTACGTAAGATTTTTTTAATCAGATTGTTTTTAAATAACAGCCGTAACAAACAGCGATTCAATTACGTTTTATTTTATTTGTTTGCTGTATGCTACATAACGTATAATTAGTATATGACCTTAAATCACATCAAATGGTTGAATATCGTTATTTAATTAATTGCCCTACCGTCATTCAAGGTTGTTCTTTTGCTGCTTTTTATGTGCCTATGGTATAAAATTATTAAGTTATTTATTCACTTACAAATTAGGTTTATTTTAAAATAACTGAAAATAGTTATTAAAAACAAACACATTCAAGGCTGTAATTACATGTTATATTTTACTTCGTGGTAGAGCCATGTTTCAGCAATATAACGGTTGTAGCACGAAAGGGTTGACTCAACCGGGGAAGTACCACGCTCTCACAGAATACAAGCGTAAAATAGCACAACTTTATGCAGCTGTGTTTCTCTCTCGGGCTCCCCGTACACGAGGGCATCTTAAATTGTTTGGCACGCCTCGGGATGTCACAGGATCCTTTGACATACCGAAGTGTGCCTTGCTACGCCATGCCATCTCGTGCTGTCTGTGAGCGCAAACACTTACTTTAAAAATACAGACGAAAATCTATCCGTATGGTGTCGTAAAGAGAATACATGTGAGAATGGAAGTTCCTGAAAGATTTCTAAAGATGGCAGCATACTCACCTCGTTTTACGCCATGTATATATAATATCCATACAAGGGCGTGGCCAGCCGATGGCGCAGGGGGGGGCAAGTTGACTTTACATACTACAATTCATACTTTTCTCATTCTCTATGAATGAGAAAAGTAGGTATGAATTGTAGGTAAAGTAGGTATGAATTGTAGGTATTCTGTGACAGTACAGAGTCCAATGTGTAAAGCTACACGAGCACGAGCTATTGACTATGCAATAAAAAACTTGTAAATAAGTTATAATAACATTTATTAGAAAAATAGAATAAAAAGGAGTTTGAATTTGAATAAGTGTACAGCGTACAGCGTATTTTTTTTAATTATCAGATTTTAATATTATAATGGTCGTTGTTTGTTTATATTAGGTTAATTAAAATATAATTTTCGGGGATTCATTGTAAACTTCTCGACCACTTTATTATTAAAATCTTGTAAGTTTCCATGTATAAGTTTTCGGTGCACACTCATCATGGCCAAACCATTGAGGCGATTTTCACTCATAGTGCTTCTTAGCCAGGTTTTTAGTCTCCTGAGGCTGCTAAACGGTCGCTCTACCGTACACGTCGTGCATGGAAGAGCGATCAAAATTTTCAACGCTTTTTCCGTGTTGGGAAAGAAGGTTTTTGCTTCTTTTAGGATATCAACAACGGTTTGATCTGTTGAGTTTGGTTTATTATGCCAGAATTGCTGCCAAAGCTCGACTTCAATTTTTATGTTTGGTAAATTATAAAACTGAGCGATAGTTTCACAAGTTTCTGTGAGATTTTCGACTGACATCGTTTGCATTTGTGCGGGGTGTAATTTAGATAAAGCAAATGATGGAGTATTTTCTTCAGCAAAGCGTGTTTCAAGCGATGTAATAACGGAGTCCAAGTATGGTATTATTAATGATCTTTTCCAGAATTCTGAAGGGCTTTCTGCTGGGTGATTGTTTCGATGACGTTGTTTCCCAACAATGCGCGGCATTGAAGTGATATCCTCCTCCAGGCCGACTTTCTCCGCAACAACAGTAGCATCCTTTACAATTTCATCTGTGACTCTTTTGGGATTATCACGGTGGCTCTTAAGCAATTGCAAAATGCGTTTGACGTGTTGCGAGGCCTTAAACACATCCAAAGCTATGGATTGGAGTGCGTTGACAACAGGTTCTAACAAAGCAGAGTATTTAGCTATCAAAGTAATACAAAGTATAAACGAAATTTTGAAAGCAGCCGCATGGAGTTGAAAGGCATTTTTTCGAGTAGCACTGTTTCCTTCACGCGATAAGTTTTCTAAGGCTTCCAATATAACAGGAAAATTCTCCTTAAATACTCTGATAGTTTTACGTTTCTCACTCCATCTTGTTTCGCAGAGCCTGGCAATATTAGGTACCAATTTTCTTCTCAAAACAGATTCCCGAAAAAAATTAATAATATCTTTAGTGGTTCCCATGGTGTTTCGAATTTCAGGAAGAATATTGAGATCATTTATTACCAGATTCAATTTATGGGACGAGCAATGAAAGAACAGTGCTTTGGTATATTTTTTGCGAAGGATCGCTTGTACTCCACCGTCTTTTCCGGACATCGTCGAACAACCGTCAAATCCAAAACCAACGCATTTATCAGCAGGATTAAGGTCTTCTTTTGTCAGAAACTCATCGATGCAATATGCAATAGATTTCGCATCCAGACCTTTCAGCTCAACAAATCCGACGAACATTTCTTGGACCTCATTGGCTTCCTCGTCAAAATATCGCAGCCCAATCGATAATTGTTCAGTACCGGAAATATCAGCTGTTTCGTCTGCTAACACATTATAAGCATCTGCTTCTTTTACTTTTTTCACAATGTCTGCCTTAATAACATCTCCACAAATTGCGATAATTTCATTTTGAATAGCAATCGATCGATAGCTTGCATTCTTTTTCCCATGCTCAATGTGTTTCTTCAAAACTAAATCTCCCGCGTCAATTCGTAGCTTATAGAAGTCCTCGAGAACACCTTCGCCATAATGTTTTCCTCTCAGAGCTAAGTCGTGCAACCCGCAAAACGTAATGCAGGAAATAATAAATGTTATAATTTTTCGGTTTTCTTCAATAATGCCCCGGGAGTATTTGTTGAGTTGTAAATCTACAGGCACACTTCCACGAAATGATTTAGCGGCTTCCAGTGCCATCTTATGGAAGTGGGTTTCCATGTGCTTTTTGCAATGCTCGTGAATATCTTTGAACTTACAAAACGGCCTTATGATAAATGACCCTAATACGCCTCTAAAAGAATTTGGATTTGGCGGGAATAATGTACAATATTTACAAAAGGCTCCTTTTTGGTGCCTGGAATAGGCCGACCATGGAGAGTACGTTTCCAACCATGTATAATTAAATTTCCTCTTCAAATGTTTAGCGTCTTCCGCAAAGTCATACGTCGCAGACGGAGACCAAGTGTTTTCAATCAATTCTTTCTTCATTTCAGTCGATAACATTGATGCTTGTCCAATAAATTTACCGATGTCATTTTCGTTGCAGTCATTTATCGAAGAGTCGGGAACTAAGTTCGGTTCTTTGGATGTGCTAGGTCTCGCCAGGTCACCCACGGAATCATCGCTGTCACTGCTTGCTCCTTCAGGTTTCTTTCTTTTTAAAACTGCAAAATAAAATATTTGAAATAGCAACAACTTCTTCTGGTCCGCAATTCACATTGAAAGCATAAATGCCCTTCAAGACGGCGGCAGGCTCGAGCCCGCGCAAGGACTAGCGTCAACGATATTTTTTATATCAACAGTCCTAGCTATTTCGAGCGGCTTAACCGCCGCGGCTATGCTCGCGCGGTCTCGGGCATCCTCGCTCGAGCACTCTAGAGCGGGCGCGACGACACGCACGCACCGGAGTCTCAAGCATACGCGAGCCGACTGTGCCGAATCGGCACTGCCGATATTCATTCATACAATTTTATACTTTGAGCTTTGTTAATACGTTCCTATTTTCGATTGAACCATTAAATTGAGCAATTTTCCTTTTGGTTTAAACTGACGACCCTTAAGAATCGGATACCGTGCCTAGAAACGGATCTTTGCGATTTTAAAAACCGATGCAAAATCAGCATTTATAATCAAATCAATTGACGTTATTTTACGGACGGAAAATACGAAAGCTAAACGCAAGTGATACCAAAAAATTTTCTGATGTCCATATTGATTATGTGGTCACAGCAACTATTTAGATGTGATAATAGCGCACAAAACAAAGTAAAAGCGGGCAGTGGCAACGCTAACGCACGAATAAATGACAGACAGACGATAAAACAAAGGCGGCTGTGTGGGGGGGCGCGGGCGCCACGCGGTTACATGTTGCTTTGCTTCCCCACTCCCTCTCTCCCGCTTTAACGATAGAGTAGAGCAGAGCGCAGCGTAGTACGGAATATTAAGAGTGGAATTGGTGAATTCATTCGAGTTTCGACGCACGGGAATGATTGTTCAAGGCAAATCAACTCAAATACTTAGGACTTTGGTTGCATTATATTTGGCAACTTTTTTAGAATCTCTAGGGGGGGGCAGCCGCCCCTCCCTGCCCCCCTTTGGCGATGCCCTTATATCCATATTGGCAATGACGAGGCACGGTAAATGAGCGAAACGTCTGGTACTGCGGTCGTCTAAGCCAAGCGTGCTGGTTTACGCCAATCCTCTTAAGTTTTACCAATGGTGTTATCAGCAGAAAGCGTAACAATAAGACAATAGAAGTGGCATAGACGATTCTAAGCAAGACAACAACAAGGCAAGACTAAAACTGAATGACCTTGTCGCCGCTATGATGTGTTGACGAACATTATTCACCATTTTGTGATTTAGTTGCACGGGCAACTTCGTACGTGAACTTATGTTATTATGATAGTGAACTGCAGCATAATCAGTAGTAAAAACTCACCGAGGACGTGTCAGATAATGAAGAAGTAAGATGATTATTTACTAATTATCGTTGTTTTAACTAAATTACATCTAGATGAATACTTTACTACGATATTTACCTTTGTAAACTTTCATTTATTACTTGTATTTATTGTACAATTACCATTACTGCTTTTGATCTAGCGTAATACGCTACGCACGCGACGTTGACAAACTCGCCAAGCAATGTAATGTGAAATATTGGATATAATTGTGCATTGCGTATACGAGGGTGGATTGAAAAGTACTCGGCCTAACACAGATCCATTCAATTCTAAAAATCAAATCTACCCACATTATTTAGTTCAGTTCAGACTAGTTCATTGTGTGAAGTTCGAAACGTGTGCGATAATTAGTTGTGATTTTATAAATTTATTAACAAAGTAATCGGACCTAATTTCCGCGAATGGAGCAAATCGAGCAGCGTGCCGTCATTAAGTACCTCCATAAGAAGGGGCTATCATCAAAAGCCATTCATGATGACATGGTCAGTACATTAGGCGATTGTGCTCTGTCATATTCATCCGTCAAAAAATGGATAGCAGAATTTAAGCGTGGTAGAGAGAGTGTGAAAGATGAACCCCGCTCTGGAAGGCCTTCGACGTCAACTACTGACGAAAATATTAAAAAAAGTACTTGATTTAATAGTGGGAGCCCGCAGATTAAAAATTAGAGAGATAGCCGAGATTATAGGCATCTCTTATGAATGAACTCAAAACATCAATGTCAACGAGTTGTGTTTCCACAAGGTGTCTGCGAGGTGGGTTCCGCGACTGCTTTCAGTTGAACAAAAAAAGGACGCAATTGACTATTTCACGCGACTGTTTGGAGTTATTTGAAGCCGATGCAGATGATTTTTTGAATCGTTTTGTTACTATGGACGAAACATGGGTTCATTATTGTACACCGGAAACAAAACAACAATCAAAACATTGGAGAAGACCTGGTTCACCACCCCCTAAAAAGGCTAAGTCGATTTTGTCGGCAAATAAGGTGATGGCTTCAGTATTCTGGGACTCGAAAGGTGTGATTATGATTGATTATCTTGAAAGGGGTCAGACTATAAACTCTGATTACAACTGCACCTTACTACGTCGTTTACGAGAGGAAATAAAAGAAAAACGTCGAGGAATGCTCAGAAGAAAAGTCCTGTTTCATCAAGATAACGCCCGTGTTCACACGTCAGTACAGTCAATGGCTGAAATTCACAACTGTGGCTTTGAACTGTTACCGCATCCGCCGTATTTACCTGATCTGGCACCATCAGACTTCTTTCTGTTCCCTAACCTAAAAAAGCACTTGGGAGGTCAAAGATTTTCGACAAACGACGAGGTCAAAGCAGCTGTAGACGCATATTTTGACTCTAAGGAAGAATCATTTTTTTTTCAACGGTCTAAATGCTTGGAAGGGGAGGTGGCAAAAGTGTATTGAACTTGATGGTGATTATGTAGAAAAATAAAAATATAACTGATTTAGTATGTGTTTATTTTCTTGGTTAGGCCGAGTACTTTTCAATCCACCCTCGTATTTATAATACGGCTGCAGGCATCGGTCACTTAATGTGTATGTGTAAAATGTGGCGAAATCGGTTTTGGAAGTCATCGAGCGCTAAATCATTTCTATTGTCTTATTATTACTATTTCTGTGTTTTTATCACATTTTAGGCGTTACATGGTGGCAATAGCTTAGGCAGCCGTGACAGCGGGGCTAAGCATTTGCTACAAATTTCACTTAAATGCAATTTTATGTGCACATTTACCACTTAGTCTGTGGTGAAAAAAACATCGTGAGGATACCGGCATAACTCTAATCGGCATAATTAAAATAATCAAATGTTTGGAAGGTATATGAAGTCAATCAGTACGCATTAGAACAGCGTGGCTTACATTTGTTTGCCATAAAACCCTCTCATAAATGAAAGAAGGCCTGTACGCAGCAGTAGGATGTATTTTTAATTTTTACTTTAAGCGTTATGGGACAGGTAATTAAGGATGTGTTTCGGTGTGATCCCATCTAACGGAAGACATAAGATTTTGTGGTTTCCTTTTTCTATATAGGATCATGGTGACAAACTAGCACACATAAGTGGGTGCAGTGCCCCATAGATATTTACATCTATCTTTGATTAGGAATCAAAATACAGATGCTTTATCACCCATAAAGACTAAGATGGGATGCCGCGTGTCTGGTAAAAAAGGTCTCCGGTTCTCTATAGTCACCATACGAAACACAGCAGCAAATTTCTGCCTTTTTACGTTGATATTCTGTGAGAGCGTGGTCCTTCGCCGGTCGAGCTGGCCTATTTGTGCTACAAACATAGTATAGCTGCAGCATATCTCTTCACGTTAAAAAATTCTATAATTTGTTACCTTTTATGACAACGATTCTTCCACCACCACACGGCTACCTCAATTGTCATAATTTCTCATAATTGCACAGAAATCAATATAAAATAAAGGCAAATTCCAGTAAAACTAATTCCACGGATTTTATCTCATAAAATTTTAATTCCCGACGTTTCCCCTTAACCGTGAGCACTCGAAATGACGGAATTTAATAATTATCTTAAATTACTCGGTGTAAAAACGATAAAATTCCTTTATTTTAAGAAAAATATACGAAATTATTACGGTGTTAACATAATATAAATATAACGGATATGAGTTATCAAAACCTTGCGACCTAAAACATAACATTATCTGTATCATCGTTTACGATGTCACATAAAATGTAGAATATATTATTGTTGTAGTGTGTTGTAGAGGGTTGTTACCTCTTACCTATTTCCTTTTTTATATATTGAAAATAACATTAACATAATGATTATTTTCTGTATTGTGGATGCAGTGTATATACATACATACGTTTGTAGACGTATGTAAACTGCTGTTTGTATGTATTTTTAAGTAATTTAATTCTGACTATCGTTTTGTAATTTGATTCACTTGACTTGGATAACAAGCTATGTATTTTTCTATATTTATTATGTACATCTAGATTTGAAATTATATATATATATATACTAAGTATATTAAAATCATATATCAATGGAAACGTTATTAAATAAGCTATCAGATTATGCATACCAGATATATATGTTATATATATGTATGTTATTTATATCATATATATATTACAAATAGTTTGCTATCATTCGACGCCATATTATGGCGTTTGACAGATGCGCATATTATTTGAGACGTCAGAATATGATGTTTGGAGAGACGAGGGGATATGTTACGAGCTTCAAGTTCGTGACAATTAAAAACTGCCGACTGAATTACCAAAATTTACAATTTTATTACCGAACACCAATTAAAAGTTAAAACAATAATAATTAATCATATTGATTCACTTTATTTCGCTCCGAAGCTTCGCTTGTCTCGCCAAATTCAATACTACCCTGACCGCGCCTTGCAGCGCCTTTAAATATACATTTTTCACCGAAACGTCCAGAATATTCAAGTAAATACGCGCGCTAACCAACCGGGCGCAGAAAGTTCGAGTGTGGGGCTTCCAGAAAGCTTAGTTCTTCTGTTCGATACTAGATGGCGCTGTTGGTCGAAAGATTAGTCATGTCATTTTCTGGAAAGCTCTCCTCGCTTTGTTACCCGACACTAGATGGCGGTAGTTCCAGACGTCAACATAGGCGCGCAACACTGCCCCCTCCTAAGACATGCTCGTCCCGAACATTATCGGCCCCATAATAACGCACCAGGAGATCCACATGGACGATCTTAGGAGTCCCTCTTGTGCCTTTCTGTATCCGGTAGGTTACTTAGTTGATCCTGTCACAATCCAGTACGGGCCGTCCCATTTAGCTTGAAGCTTAGGAGATTTCCCTTTTGCTGGGGACTGGATTGTGCAACCACACTAGTGAACCTTCGTCGAACCCTTTGTTGTTCATTTTGCGGTCATACCGGGTTTTCATCTTTGCGGACATTTGCTGGCCCGATTGTTTGACGTGCTCATAAATGTCATTCATTTTGTTCCGCAAG